CAATAACAGTACAAATTTTAATGATAAAAAAATGATAAACAATGCCGGCCAATGATAAAATTGCATAATTTAATTAAAATATCATACCTAAATTTCCATTTTATTTATTAATTATTGTTACACATCAACATGTTGATTTTAATTAACTTTGTAAATAGAATATAAAACGCGTAAAATATATAATTTGCTTTCGGATACAAATTTTGTTTACGGACTTAAATTTCAATAGTTCCCTATTGTTTTATAAATAAAATAGTAGGTATGCTTTTAATGTGTTCATTAGCGTATGCGTGTATCAATGAAATATGAATACTTCAATATGTAATTACATGTTAATGGATTAATGGTAAAATTTCGTGCTTTAATTTTCTCACATTATTTAAAGAGCTTTTAGTTTGCATAAATCGTTTTCTAGAACTCTACTCTCGATTAAATTCAAGAAAGCGATACCACTATGCATCACAGTATTGCACTACTACGAGTAGAAAGACAATCCAGCACGCGATTCCCTTTAGAATTGATGCACACAACGAATCAATGCGGTCGGGCAATCGAGAAGCACTTATTCAACATCTATTCGATCTATTATACATAGCAATCCTCTGCAACTTCTACCGAGAAATGCGAGAAAAGAAAATAATAAAACGCGCGAAACTCGGGAGTTTGCTTAATCTCAAACTTAATCGTAAACAGAAATTTTAATTAACTAATTAAAACCGCTTTTATATTTATTTATTTATTTAAATAATTTCAAGGAGATAATGAATATTAAAATCCAATTTGCGCATTTAGGTTGCGCGTTTACACACCGATGAATCGTCTGTTCTAGATTTTCAAATTTCAGACGATACTTTTACCGTTTATCTGATTTTATATTCTACATTGCTTATTATATTTTATATATATTCTACGTATGAATAATATGCTATAATAATCAGCTAATAATGAAAATATTAATCTCTTATAACGTGCGAAATTTTGCAATTTCGCATTAAAAAAAATTTTGCTACCGCAGTTAATCATGGTTCGCTAAAAATATTTTGCTACCGTAACTATAAATTTCTAAATCACAACAAAAGGTTTGCTGTCGCATCTAACACAATAGGGCACAGTAGCAAAATATTTAGCTGTTACAGCTACATATTAGCTATCCATATTTTCCCACTGAAATTTAGTTGCCACATGCAGTTTTCAGCTACGGCAGCTACATTTTTCTTTCCGTGCGATATTTCGATATTTTGGAATCTTCAAAATATATCACCGTTTAAGTTCGATGCATTCTTTCTTCACATACAACTTGTATCTATTTTAAGCAATACGAAACGAAAGACGTTACTGTCGTATCACCATAGAGAGAGTCTTGGTTCGTTTATAATTAATGTAGTAACGAGTCCTCGTCAAACTAATTACACAGGTACAAACTTGAGTGTGGCGCGAGACGGGAACACCGTTAAAAGTTCGGCCGATGTGCACGTTATATGCGCGGAAAGTCGCGAAAACAGGAAGAAGTTCGTAACGACTTCGAGACAATTCGGAATACGGAAGTCTTACTTATAAGAAGCAGGTTATTTGCATCGTACGGGTAACTTTGAGTACCTATATCTATACCGATATCGTCAGTTCCTCTTATTTGTGATTTACATGTAATAATACAGATCTGCAAAATAGTTGATATTTGATCAACGCCATATGCGGCGAATAATGAAAAACAGATTACGGAATCCAAAGCGATTCCTAAAGAGATTTCTCTGCCAGCTTATCCCCAGATTTCCTAAGCATGACTTTTCCTACATGCGAATTCGATACTTTAAGACGAAAATAGGATAATTTGAAAATGTATTGAGAATACGTGTTTAAAATATGCGCGCCGAGATGCTTAACATAAATTGATTATTTCATCAAGCAACGGGTGAGTGCTTACAGGCATTGGCTGTCTTTAAGTAGTTTAAGTCAATCATTCTTCGTACTCGTCCGACACTGGGCGACTGAGAATAAACAGCTGGAACAGCAAACTCATGGATCCTGCATTAGAGAGTAGTTCAAGCAACCATCTTATTAACATTATTGATCGTGAAGCAAGAAATAAGTCTTTTGTTACTATTAATGAAGTTGCTGTTCCATAGTTTTCTCCTGCATCCGTCGGAATAAACCAAACAATCTTCCACGCTCATTACGAAGGGGTTTTACCGACTAATATATTTAACAATAATTTGTATGTGCGCGTATACGTACCTCTACTAGTAATTTAATAATATTTAACTTTGTCATAACATAAACAAATATAATGTGTGTTCAGTTTAAAACAACTTATACTATTTATGGTAGAAATATATTCGCACATTAATGAAAATAATAAATATCAGAAATAAATCCTTTGCCAGCAGGGAAAATTTGCTATAATGGAAATGCCGAAAATATCATTCATGACATAAATTCCTCTTAAAGCACGTTGGCTCGTTCTCGCAAATATTTGGCATGTTTGATGCAGAAGAACACTTAGGTTCGTCTATCGATGGCACATGCTTACCGGAATTTCTGTTTAATATATTCTTACTCACCTAACATAATTTGGCATGATTTTACACGCGTGATAACAACAATCGATGATAATTTATTTTACATAGTAGGTATTTCTAGCAAATTGAAAAAGAGTTGGAAGATTCTTAAGTCAGTTCTTAAATCGAGTTCAAAAACGCGTCCGTAAGAATGCAGACAAATGTATACAGCTCTCATTCCACCGTATGAAACAACTTGTTCCACTCAACCCCCACCGCACTCTCACTTAGAAAGATTGAATTCCAAGTACTCGCAAACCAACGAGCGAAATGTTCTGGTACACTGTTTGTAAATGCTTCCTATGCGACTCGAGCTTTGCTCGAGAGATTGGTAAGTTCAGCAACGATTTATTGATCACGATACATCGCAAAGGCAACGGTGCTGATTCCTTTTTCCCAGTTTGCTTTTTGTAACAACCAATATCGACAAACATACATTGAACGAAAGTTTGTAACTCAAATAAGTGAATGCGCGATGAATGTTTTCATTATTAATGAATTTTACGTAAAACATTAAATTATTTGATTTTGAAAAAGCAAAAATTTACACATAAGTATGCACAAAATAGCACATTAACAATAATAACTATTTTAAAAAACCGGAAATTTAACTAAACCAATAACATTGTATACAAATAAATTTTCCCCTTCTGGCAATATCATAGTGAAATCATCCACATTGTATGAATATCGGTATTTACCGGTAACAAAGTGTTATCTGTCTTAAGAGCTTCGGCAATATCCAGTTTGAAACTGTTTCAAGTGCTCACAACTATCAGTTTCTGCTGAATGCTTTCACTGCATCTATATGTAAGGATGAGATCCTTTAAGAGCGATATGTATAACCGATCAGGAAACAATACCGTGAGAAGAAACAATAGTCAAAGTATAAGAGAACCGCGGAAACTTGAAGTAAAAACTTGAAAATTACAATAAGACTGCATGTTAGTAGCGAACTCACCGATATTCCACTAATGATACATGCGTTATCAATAACGTGGTTCTGACTAATTGTACAAAAGGTTTTAGCTATTACTTACGTTATTAAAAAATATTAACAAATAAAATGAGCCGCACAAACGTACGTTGAACGTCATAATTTATCGAATATAAATTCTGTTATTTTTTCATACATTAAAGTGAATGCTTAAGAAGATACCAATAACATAAGTGATTTTAATCTATTGACTATCATCTTCCTTTTATTTTTAAATCTAAAAATAAAATGTATTGTCTTATGTCCCGCGTACCGGAGAAAATGATTACTTTTGATTGTTAGGTTAGTAATTTTGAACAAACAACTACAATTTTTTTAACAATGCCCATATCCTTATATACCTAACAATACGATATCAAAATCATTGAAGTCAATGACCTAACCTTTAATATGCAATTATATTTGTAAGGATCATTTTATTACAGTGAAAATATAGAGAATCCATTTTAATAATATTGTTAAATCTTGTAATTTGCGCTAACAATATTGTAACTTAAAAGCCAGAGAGAATCCCACAAAACGTTTTATAATTATATTTATAATTGTATTCCCATAAGTTTTACGCGCTTTTGTTAATTTTAAAAATTTCATTTTACAAATAAATTACGCGAAATAGGAATACAAATGGTATATATATTTTAGAATAGATTTTTAAATGCGACTTTCACGCGTGTTCGATAAATAGGCAATTTTACATTGAATAAACACATATGCTTGCACAAGAGGTACGAAAACTCGCGCATCATAACATGTCATTTGCGTCATAATAATAGAGTAGCACAGCCACAAAATTAGGAGGAAAATATCCTACCGCCATCCGCGGAATTTCCTTTGGGAGAATTAGGATGAGGTAAGTGCTGCATAGTAGCTGCACATGGGAAAGGGGACGGGAAAATCAACAAAGTCTCTACATAAAACAGTGTGGAGTGCTTGGCTTTTAGAAGGTAACGTAATATTGCATACATTCAAAAATGTTATGTTTATTATATATATTCCTATACGAGTCACATGGAAACATTGTAAAATATTTTTACAAAACGTTTTATAATTATATTTATAAAAATATTTTTACAATGTTCACTCATACTTTTTACTGCATTAAAATTTTAACGAAATGAAGAGATTCGTAATAAAAAAAGAATCCTTAAATGTTGTTTGTAAAGTTTTACAACACAAAATGTTATGTTTACTATATGTATATATATTCCTATACGAGTTTTATACATGGAAACATTGTAAAATATTTTTACAATGTTCACTCGTACTCTCTACGACATTAAGATTGTAAAGAAATTAAGAGATTTATAATAAAAAAAGAATCCTTAAATGTTAATTGGAAAGTTTCACATTGGTATGACTACGTAAAAGCTGCATACGTTACGCAGACCTAAGGTTGTCAGCAAATGTATTATGTTGAATATTCTTGAAGATGGAAACGTATAACTTACCTTAAGAGTATTTTGTAGATTTTGTACTCTGCAGTGCATGTAGACTTGGGCGCCGAGCTGTACAGTAATGTTGCTTTCTGGATCCTCGAAAAATGGCCTCGGTTCAGGAGTGCCACCTGTTTCAGTCACGAAATTCTCCACCTCGTAAACCTACGATAAAAGCTAAAATGCAACCGCTCCTTCTATTATTTAACGTACTTGTAATATAATCAAGGGAACCGTAGTCTCTTAAAACAACATAAAATAGTTGCGACTGCCGTTAATCCTAAGTACATGTAATATTTTATCCGAAACACTGTAAAGGGTGATTACGAAACATTCAAATGGTGGATGAACGGTAAAAGCCTGCATTGTAAATTTCGATAAGGCAGATAAACTTTTTTATAATGAGAAATACGCGTTTTATCGCGAAAATTGTTCAAAAGATTGTAATAAGCGGATATTCAGAGTTTAAAAATATTGTAATTTGCTATTACCACGGCCGTTTAGTTTAAAAATATAATTTAAAAAATGGTATTAAGTTTGGATATTGCATTGTCTGTCTTATTAAAAAATATTTCAAAAGGAGACTGTCATTGCGCTGCCAAAAAATGGGTAATTTAGATATTAGTCGTTATTGGAGAGAAAACAAAAGAATTCCGCGCATTTTAAATGGAAAATGGCTTCCGATTAATTTTGCTGAAGACAAAAAGAAGCTTAATACTTACAATTAGACGAAAATAAGCTTCTGACTTTAAAACTCTATGTCAGTTTTACATCCAAATTCTAATATTTTAAGGCTTTAAAGCTCTGCGGCGGCCATACTATTGATTTTTAGGAGGGTGCTCATTGATAATTTTCATCGGGAAGATAAAGATAGTAACATATATTTCAATTTCAGCAAAATTAATCAAAAGCCATTTTTTTATTAGAAACGTGAAGTCCTTTAAATATTATCAGAATTGAACCATTTTAACATATTGTATTACTTCAGTTATTCCAATTATTCTCTATTCTTTATACGTAGTTCGATATTTTAAACGTAATTTCCACAAGTTTAGACAGATGATACGTTCAAAAAAGATATCGACAGGGAAAGTACATATAACAGCCGAAATATTTATGACTATGCATTAAAATAGTCCATCCAATATATTAAGTTAACTTAAGCAACTATAAAAATTTGATAATGCAATTTATATACCTCTGTGAAAGGTGAACTAAGTTCGTGCCAAAATGAGCGTGGCAAGTTTTCAAAACCTGGAAATGGCTTCGCACCTGCAACAAAATTTTTTTTTAATTCGATAGTTTCCTTTTCTAAAAAAGAGATGTTAACAGCGCGAATGTCGTTAATATCGAACAGTTGAGGCCTCTTTTCCGCGAAGCCGATTAGTTTTCTCGAAGCACAGTGTGCTTCGCTCCTCTTTTAGATTTATAGTAAATAAAGATTTGCAATTTAGAAATATACATTTGCATACACCAACTATTGAGGAAAAGTCTCTAATCTTAGTAATTAGAATTTAAGTAACAACAATTTTTGTTTCGAAACATTTTCTCGATTGAACAGAATTGAACGTTAATTTAATCAATACCAATAAGTCCGCAGAATGATACGCAAAACGTAGTAACAGTAGCGAAACAAAGTAATGTAAAATATTAAGTACATAATTTTCAATTTCGTAGGCGGGACAACGAACTCTTAACGTTCGTCGTTGTTTTTCTCTCAGCGCGGTGACGTACGATGTTTTTGCGTGCCATCGTGTACCTGAAGGTCGCTGCGTTCTCACTCGCTCGCCGAACGTCGAGCCGGCAAGCAGTGGCGAGAGTCGCTCCGTGCGCGGTATTACTTTTGCGTTATCGGTTTCCAAGACTCGATCGCGACGAATGTAGGGATAAAACGCTATCGATTTGTATACCTTTATCAGTAATGAGTAACGTCCCTCGATTAATTATGTTTCTACAACTTGCAGTGAGAAGCGAATTGTATGTTGAGGCGACGGGTCTTTATCAACGTATATACAGATATTTCATGAGACTAACTCATCTAAAATATTAATGTAAACCTTGATACTTCGTCGCGGTTACATCTCGTTTACGCATCGCGCTTTTAATTATCTATCAGATTTGTGTAATCTGTTCCATTTTCGGGAAAAGAGAGAAATTTGTGCGACTTCGGCGTTCGCGCTGTAATTCGCTCTGTCGTTCTTCGCCAATTCAAAAGTGATTTATCCATTCTGCCAAATCAGAAATGCAAGTTGTTAGTTTGAATAATTTGTATGACAGAAAGTCACGCGATATTTGTTAATAATATTTCGTGCGTTCCGCGGTATTTCACATCGCGTACGAGAGTGCCGGAAATTTCGCGCGATCGATGATCTTCGCGAGTGAGTGTTGTGTAAGTGCAACAAGGAAATCTGAGAGGAGGAGGAGGCCCAGAAGGCATCGGGCAACAGCAGAGAAACCGTGAGGTAAGTGTCTTACATTTTTATGTTATCTATTACTTGTGCGAAATAAAGCATCAGTTCTGTGTTTTTATTCGAATAAGTGTTAAAGACAAAATCATACGTATACAATTTTGTGAGTTTATATTTAAAAGAAAAACTTTTCAGTATTTAAAAAATATAAAATATGAAGTATATGTAATACAATAATTTCGATTTTACATAATTAGTCTATAATAATCATACATATTTGTATTTTTACAGTTTAACAGATATATGTACCGATGTACAACTCTGCTGTTGCGAATCGTATCAGTGAGTAATATTTTAAATTGACATTGCGTATACAATTACTTCTTTGCATGTATACAAATTCTTAAAAATATACAGTGCTCAACTATGAATTGCGCGCGCGAAGCGCGCGTTTTGTCATTTCTAGTTCATATAAAATTTAATATTTTATGTTGGCTACTAAAGAAAATATTTTTTACAACTTCAATGATATAAGTTATATAATTTTCTGAAATTATTTCTGTTGTTTTATCTTTGGGATTCTGTAATTAATGTATAATCAAATTTTGCATTAAGTTGGTAAAGTTAATACAAGTATATTGAGAACAAAGTCAAAAATTACTAAAAAATTATATCTTTCTAAATTTGCTAAAGTCTGAAATGTTAGATTTACGGTAGAAAAAATTATTCGCGATGCGTGTATGACATGGAAAAAGATTTCACTTTCCACCTCGATGTACAACGACGGAACGAATCCCTGCACTTGCCGACATCTTGAATGGCCTTATCAGCAAGAAGCATACGCGACTATGTAACTTCCTGAGACGGTTCGCGCAAGTATATTCTCCTTATAAAGTTGCATAACCAATGGCGGATTTCTCAATATGCCAGACGTCTCGCATACAAGAAAACATTGCAATAAACTTTTTGAAAACCTATTTATCTTTATAAAGAAAGTCGCGACAAGTTTTGTCACAATCACTTTAATAAAATATTTTAGTTGTAATATGCGAAAAAATAAATACCGACCAGAGAACAAACTTAAATTCGTAAAACCGTGTATTTCAACATCGAAACGCAAAAGCGAGAAATAGTTTCGGCGCGCGAATGCATACGCAGCCATCGGCATGTTTTTATTACATCGCACTGAATAAATAATTTCACGAAAATTCGAGGTAAACGAATATAGCTAAAGTAAACGTCCCGTTACGAGATGTTTTACAAACAATGCGTGTATTGTGCATACGTCTGCCTAAACGGATTTATCCGTAATAGGAAAAGTAAAAAAATTTCCGCGAAGCAATAAATACGCGTTTTATAAACGACTCGTCTAGCAAATGTAGAGGTCTCGAATATTGAAGATTAAATATAGCGGAAACTAAGTTAATTATCTAAAATCTATTAATAATAAACGTTATGATATGTATAGTGGGGATTAAATAACATATACGTACAGATATAAGATACATAATCTTAGCATATTATTATTTAATTCTCACCGTGTAATGTAAATGTAATATCTCTAAAAGTCAATCAGTGCATCATCACTGTATATGTACAACACATATGTATATATATATATATATATATGATGCACACACATATTTCAATGCTACTTGATGGAATTTTCGCAACCGCGTAATCTTCTTTACTCTCTGCGATCGAAGGCATCAAGCATCTTATAAGCATAGCTTTACATAGCTTGGCACGGTATGCGCGCAGATCGAACAGAAAGAGGTAATAAAGCCAGTTTCCCAGCAACGTGGTCGTTTTTCGAGGCGATACCGGGGAAACCGTGCAATCTGGTCTCTTATAAAGCTCGCACCGTTGAAAGAGACAAGCAGAGTGCAGAAAAATAAAGGAAACCGCGATAGAATTCGGAGAGACCATGCAAGGGGATGGCAATATCTCTCTCCATCAAGTTCGACGATTCAAACGGTTCTGATTCCCCGCGGCCGGCTTCGCTCAGATTCGGTTCGCCAGTCAGAGGAACCTTGCCGAGGATCTTTCTCATCTCACCACGAGGATCTAAGAAATCCCGACTATGTGAAAGATGCACTTCGAAATTATTTTCCCAGCTGATCGTCCTCGCGCGCGAGCAACTTCCTTTCACCTCGCTTTGACGAATTGCCCTGCTTTCTCTCTGTTTCTCTATCCTTCCAAGGTCCCGACCCAACTATTTCTCGTAGAAGGATGGGATAATCCTCGAGAGATGTATCAGCTCTAGCTACTGGCGTGCAGAACACCCTCCCCCGCTTACGCCAATCTAACAAGTTGAATTCTCTCGCTACAGAGAGACACCTTGGAAAAGGAATGAGGCAAACGGATTTCTAATATCCGCTAGAAAGACGAAGCACATAATCTCCGCGGGAGGGATAAGCTCGGTTACTGGTCAGGATTTCGTTTCAGATACGTTTGCAAGCACGGATTATGTCTCAACGCATCAGAAAGTAGCGCGTTTGTAAAAGAAACTGTTGCGCGCGTGCGAATTCACATGAATTTCGAAAGAATAACGAGCCAGGGAAGTTGCAGTTAACATCTCTTCAATTACAATTAAATATTATTAAATATACCCAAAAATCTGTCCAACAGAAATGAGGAGTCTAACAGTAAAATTAGTTGGCGAACGTATACCTTTACGTATTAAATGTTTAAGATAAAAATTAAAACTAAGCATTTCCCGACGAATTCTGAAGCCGCCTTATTGTAATATATTTTCGCGTTACACAAAGACAGCGAGCAGTCGCGCCCAGATCCAATACGCTTCGAAAGTGCCCTATATTATTTCTGTCAAAGGAAAACAGACTTTCGTACCGTTCGGAAGTATCGTGACCAATTGCACGATTCTCATAGTTCTTCTTTCCCTTCAATTTCAGCATTTCATCCAAACGTTGTAAGAGCCGCCTCGAATCTAAAAGTATGCCGGGTCGACCGCGGTTTGTCGCTTGGTACGGCGTCAAATTTATGGAAGCCGTCCGTACTCGTGGATTTATGAGAATCCAATGCCTTAATTGGAAAATTATAGGACAAGGTCTGGGTACCGACCGTTCAGCTCATAGCTCGTTATTCAGTATAATCTGATTTTCTCATTTCCGGCAAGTATGCCTGAATATTTTTTCACCGACAACAAAGGCCGGCGTTTCCGCGAGAAAAACAAATAATAGTACAAAAATCTCGTTGACGTATACAGCAAATCCGCTTTTCATTACTCTTTTTTAATCTTCAATTCTGTTAGCTTTATCTTCGTGGCATTAAACATATCATAAGCGATTATCTGTTTCGCGACAAAAATTACGAGATTGTTTTCCCCGGGGTTGCTTTTCCCATTACAATAATTACGCATATTATAGTAATTTATAATTTACCTAATGTGTTGGCAGTGCATAGAAAGTATATCTGGTGAACCAAAATGGAGGCCACCACGGCCGAAAGACGACTCAACATCGTAGTCGATCCTCAACTCATTTCTATTCCCAAAGTTGGTACGCGGCAGCACTACTTGTTTATCTGCAAACACAAGAAACAAACGTTCATTTAATTTACGATCCTTATTCTAAGCGAAGGGGTTTTGTATTGTGAAACAAGTAAATAATTAAGGCGTGCGGCAATTTCATTTTGGCTAAATTAATCGTCAACGTCAATATTATGAGTGCAAAAACGCCGGCGCGTAAAACGAACGATCGATCAATGTGTTGTAATTAACGGGCTACAAAGCGAAATCGTGTAACAGCATTAAATACCGATTTGCTTGTGCACCAGATGCCGCTATCAAATCAAACGGTTCCCTTCGAATATCTCAGAGCCAACTTCCTATTTTCTCTAAAGCTCGTGCTTTATACTCGAATTCGCGGTATACGCAGAACATTTCGCAATAGAGAAATCACTGCCAAGTATATGTAGCGTACACGCGGAATACGGGGAATCGCATCTTTTCGAATAAGCCACAATATGAGATCTCAGACGTACCGTGTAAAATTGAAATTCTAGAAAAACCACAGTGGGCCAAGTGGAACATATGTAAATTTTTAATTGCGGCAGTAAATACGAAAGTCGGGCAAATTTGAAAAATCAACGTGGACACTTTAAATAGAGAGCAGTTTCACGAGAATCAGAACGTCGGATGAAATCCTAAGCTAATTTAATCCGAAAATATGTGCCGTAAATCATACATTCGTGAATTATTTATAACATTATAAATGCATTGCATAAATTACATTGTTTACATTTTCTTGTTAATTCGTAGCATTGCCAAAACGGGCAATCTGAGATAATCTAATAGCGCCTGTGCGTTATTACGTTACATCAAAATTATGATACATTAAATTGGAATACGTATTTGCCTTTTTGAAAGATACCTTGTACATAAATCCTACTATCAAGTCCTGTTTCGATTCATTTTTTTGAAAAAAAAAAAGAAACTTGTCAGTAGCACTCGTTCGAAAATGTACCAACAAGAAGTTACACTCGTCGACATGTACAAGTCCCTGCGGCGCGATCTTTTCAAATACGTCGACGCGACCAAGTTAGCGCTGAAGAAAGCCGAACTCGCTCAATGAGGGGAGCAAGATCGCCATGCCCGATGGCTATGAAGACACGCGGTTGCCGAGCACGAAGTGAATCAACCGGTCGCTCGAAGTCAAACAGAAGATTGTTACCGCGAAATTCCGCGTGATTCAATTTGGCCGGAAGTTCGGGGGTGGAAAACACGGTTGCCGCGGCTCGACAGTTTCCGCGCGAGAGCGAGGGAGCCTCCGGTTTGCTCTAACGAATCTATCGACAAGTTTGGGATTTCTACAAGCCCCGCGGCGGGCTCTTTCACCGGCTGTCACTTTCCACGTGCAGCGGTATCCTCTCTTCCGATCCGGCCGCTCGCTGGAAAAGGACAGGGGCTTTCATAGCCCCACGATCCAGCCATACTCGCGGAAGTAAGAAAGGACAAGCAATTTTCAGTTTTCCTGAAACCCGGTAACCCGAGGACCTGTCGCTTATTCGCGAGTTTCAAATTATTTCACCATCTGGCGCAGGTGCCGGCGCCGGTAACGAGTTGCGACGCCGCGCCCGCGCGCCGGCAAATAAAAGTCTCCCGTATCTAACTGTTCGCCGTTGTTTGAACTAGACAAACTACGAACTACGTACGCGAATCAACGGTACGAAAAGCGAGTCGGAGAGACGGCTGTGGGGGATTCGTTGGCGGGAAAAACGAAGGTAAACGCTGTCGCGTCGCCGAAAAACGGGTCCAGCCACGTCAGCGGAATTGCCGGATGGGGATTATTTTTGGTAATTCAACCGTTTTGCTAACGTAAAAACGTCTATTTTTCGCCACGCGCTTATCTCGGTTATCGACGAGCGTTCGGAAAGAATCGCGTTTCCTTCGCGTACCGATGACAATAACGGGGTAAGCGTGGGCGCGCACTCGAACAGTCGATCGCGGTCGATTCGATCGCGACACGAATCCTGCCCAGGATCCTTGTCCGCAGACCGATAAACAAATCCACGCCTAGGCCGTGAGGTTTGCACAAATAGTATGGTGTGACGCGTACTTTATGGCTGTGTATAACATGCCCCCGGTACGTTGTAACGTACTTGTTCCGCGCGCTTGTTACCGGTAACTAATGTTCTACCCGCCCATTCGATAACGCGATCCGGCCGATTGGCAGAGGGGAAGGCCCGCTGGACCAGAAAGAGATCGAGCGATTGAGCAAATTACGACACGTAGATTGCGAGCACCAACGGGGAAAGCTAGGAGCGATCAGTATACTATCGCGGCATCGGTAGACGAAATGAACGAAGCGGGAGGATCAAATTTTCTCGTTTTGCAATCGGCAACTGCACAAACGTGCAATCGAGACCATCGCCAGCCGATCAAGCGGCCCGCTCGAAAAACACGTAGTAAACATATCAGGTCCTTTTTATCCGTATTCAGAAGTTCCTTTCTCGCGCGCTGATATATATTTTCGCATCACGATACCGAAACGTGAAAACGTACAACTACGGGAATTTCGGTAATGGCAGACAATGGCAGGGACGAGCCCTCCGCGTCGAGAGACTATTTCATCGCGTTTGATTTTCCCTCTCTCGAATAACTTTCTCGCTGTAATATGCTGCTCTTGCGCTGATTACGACGAAGGTGTATAACTTTCGCACTTGTGTCAATGTTACAGTTTAATTCTATTAAAGTTCGGAACTTTATTAAGAGATGCGAGTGATCAATCGATCGCGAAAATTATCTCGTAGCATCGATGTTATGAGGTAAGTTCGGAAACAAGAGCCCGAGCGCTTCCTTTCCTAGATTATCCTAAACTATGAAATAACCTCCTGCATTTTCAGTAGAGGAGCTGGTGATAATATGGGAAGGTCTTTTTATTTCTGCGGTAAACTGAGACTAATCGTAGTAACGGAGTCGCCATCGGGGTTTTTCATCTGCGCGATCATTTAGTTTTCGGCCTGCAAAGCGCTACATTTTTTAATTCAATTCGGGTAAAAAGATCTTTCTAAAAAATTTTATTTCTGCAGTAAGCTGAGACTAATCGTAGTAACGGAGTCACCGTCGGGGTTTTTCATCTGCGCAAACATTTAGTTTTCGGCCTGCAAAGCGTTGCATTTTTCAATTCAATTCGGGTAAACCGAGGGGGAAACCGCTGACCAAAATCTTGTACACCACTAATGCCCAGTGGGCATTACTTTATCTTATTATCTTCTTTTATCTTATTGTATCTTATTGTATCTTATTTTATCTTTATAATGCCCCAGCAAGACGTAATGCCCAAAAAATGCCCTAGTAATGCCCAGTAATGCCGCAAATCTGTACACCACAATGCCCTCAGCGGTTTCCCCCTCGGGGTAAACCGATCTTTCTAAAAATTGAGAATCACGTGAAATTCTGGCTATAAGAAAAAACAGTAGTAATGTAGAAGTAGCGGGAAAGGTTTGAAGAAAACACTTCTATGACGATTTTCCAAAACACGTAATATAAGAAATTTTACGAGATGCCAAAAGCGACCATACTTAATTGATTATCAGTAGAAATAATTGTTAGCCTTCATTAATTTAATTTCTTTCTCCTGGCAGCAATAATTGCTCTCTTCGTACCATTTCTGTCACAATCTTTTTCTTCTTGGGGAGTCAAATTTACTCCTTGACATACTTGAAACTCTGTGAGACTGTGAGAAAACATAGGGTCGTAATATGGGAATAGCACTCTCATGAGTTGCCGTACTACCACCTTCGCCATGTTTGAGCTTAACTTAAATATTCTGGAAACAGACTGGCGATTGTACACTAAGAGCAAGTTACCCTGTTTTAAACACCGAACAGAACGGCTTTAGTAGTTTAAGTAAAGATTATTCCAAGTTACTCGATTTATTAAGAAAAACGAGCTGATTTCTCACCCCGTAAAAGTTTTGTGATGGGCGGAAAACAATTACGGCCGCTCCTTTCGCAGTCTCTTGTCTAATTGACCCGTGGATACCAGGGCAGGTATACAGAACGTTAAGTGTTTGCGACGAGTTAACTGCCAGATAACTCTTCTGTATATCGACCTCTTCCCATGTTACCACCATCACCTCCACAATTTATAATCGTTTGAGAATATAAGATATAGATTGCTTTGTGTGCGCTGACACACATGAAGAAGTGGAAAGAATCGAGGAAAAATTTTGCGCGTTGCCTAACCACACTTCCCTCGCGATTGACTGTTCCTTTATCGTTGCTCTGCCATACGCGAGGCGATCGATTTTGACAATACGATGTTCCGCAATCGCAACTTCAGCCAATGTTTGCTCAATAAACCTCCCAAAAGCCAACGAGCCAGCCTGTTGGCCCTCAATGTGGAGATTATTAATCGCAGAGTTGCAGCGATTTAAAGCGATAGATTTAGAGAGAGAACTAAGCTCAGGCTGCATTTTTAAGGTACGAAACGTAAAAAGAATAGAACAGACGTATCGCAGATTGAAAATCGCGTGGAACGTTGGTACTCGGCACGTCCAGTGTGCATGTACAACATCGCATCTCGTGCGCGGAAGTAAATTTGAGTTTGAAGAGTCGGACTTAATCTCGTTAATATTATAGTTAATTTCCAGCTATTTTATTCGTATCAGAAGTTGTAGTCTCGCGAGTAAGTTCCGATGAAGAAAAGAAGAGAGGGGCGTGTCGGATCGATAGAGAGTTTGAAAGCAGATCGGGCCCGTGTAAAAGTTGCATCGGGTCACGACGCGCTGTTTGTCGATGACGCTTTGATGCCCGAATGACAACCATGAAGTAGCTGTGGCTACATCATGCCACGCTATGATAAAGGTGGAACAGCTTGCGTGTCGTGGTCGGACAACACGGGCGTGTACGTGGTACGCAACCACGCTCGTGGCAACGCGGGCATAAAGATAGATCGCATAAAATCGTGTAAAAAAACAGGCACCTCCGCGGATGGGAGGTATCGCTGAGGGAAAATTTCATTTTACTGCGCGCACGAGCTTCGCGTAAAATCGCGTGAAAGAAATAGTGACAGGTACAATTTGATTGCGCTTAAATGTATTGATACGGCTTTACTTCCCTCGATGGTAAC